ACACTCTAGGCTGTCCAGTCGTGGCACTAAACATCCACCCCATCACTAAGAGACATCACATCTTTTGGGACAGGCTCTTATTGGAGGAAGTATTATGACGAATTACTGAAGTATTATGACGAATTACTACATGACTCTTTTGCCAATGGTATCTCCTTATGGAGATGAGATTGTTTAGTTAAGAGTTATGTATTTGATTAGAATTAACTACTTATCCCATCACATACAGTAACGTGACCTGGTATTTTGCACTTTTTTAGTGAAAAATTTATGAGAATGAATCCACAAAGAAAAAGTTTTGAATTAGAATTTTATAGAGCAAGTGGCATTTTCATTGGAAAAAAACCCCTGAAAAATAATTTTAAAATAAAATTTAGTTTTGAAGAGAATTAAAACAGTGATAATTCTATGCTGTTTTGACATTTGAGAAGGTAAGATTTTTTTCTATTTTAACCATTTTTATGTAAAGCCACAGAAATTTTGGATTAGAATCTCAGATGATCATTTGCAATCATCACATCTTTGTACAAATAGTCCCTTTCCAGCACCTGAAAATTGAATTTAAAAAAATTAGCTTTTGGAGAATTTTAAATGAAGCAAAATGTCCTGTTCCTACCCAGTTGTACTCAAAATACTCCTTGTCAGACCTGACATGCAGGTCCGAAGCCTCTTGTGCCTCAGTCTGCTGTGGGTTGTCAGCAATCTGTAATGCCTCTCCTGGGCACCTTGCCGAGTGTGCAGACACCTAAAGATCACAACAGTGGCAGTAGAGACAGCAAGATCCCCCTCCTATCAATGGATTCTACCTTTCAGCTGCCCACCTCATTTCAAGCAACCTACAAGAATTAACCTTGGCAAAACCTGTCTTGAGGTCCGACAGCCTTAGTGTAACCAGATGGATTGTCCTTTCTCCGCGACCTCAGCTCTGATGAGGCCTTTTAGCTAACAGAGAGATGACAGAATCACAGAATCAGAGAACAGCAGGGGTTGGAAGGAACCTCTGGAGATCATCCAGTGCAACCCCCCTGCTAGGCCAGGATCACCCAGAGCAGGTTGCACTGGATGGCGTCCAGGTGGGTTTTGATTATCTCCAGAGAAGGAAACTCCACAACCTCTCTGGTCTCTTTTGAGTGGTGTCCTCCCCATCTATAGGCTCAGGAAAGCTGTAAGTGATTAGAGGCACTGTACAAAATAACAGCAGCCATGATAGAAAACTATAATGAAAACAGTTGGGAAGATACATACATAAACAGAAATTTTTCCAGTCCAATAAGAGAATATCAGAGAAATATATTAAAAAGTGTTGCACAGAGGCAGGTAAGATATATTTCTCCAGTTTAAATGATGTAATCACCAAAATCAATGACATAAAAAACCAAGGTTAAAAAAACCCACATTTTTTTTCCAAATAGCAAACAGAAGAGAAAGGCAGACAGGGATACTGGCTTCTTCATTCTCCGGGGTACCCACACCTCTATTTTTTTTAGGAGTAGGGACGAAGTTTCCAGACTGAAAAGACAGCATCGTTCAACTCTGGACCTCAGTTTAAACTGCAGACCAAGCTAAACAGCAAAGACAGAATGCATTAAATTTTTCTTCTCAGCTTCTGTGAAGGGGTAGGAAGAAGAGTCAGAAAAGAGAAACATGGTGGTGACAGGAGCCAAGCCAGCAGAGAACCACCTTTGCCTTTTGGAGAGTTCATCAGCCTCCTGTCAGCTAACCCCAGAGCTGCTTGTTGTCCCACAGGGAAACCCATACCCACTGCGTATCATCTGCCCCAATCTTGCCCATTCCAACTGGACATTTTTGTCCCTGGAAAACCTGTGGCCAGAGGACAGTGCAAAGTCACAGGGTCACCCTTTCTGTGACACCCTTCTCTAGCTGGTGGCCCTGAGGCTGTGGAGTTGTCCTGGGGACAGTGGAAATAACAATTACGAAATCTTAAAAAGCAGCGATAGAAGGAGAGAGAAGATTCAGAATTATTAAGGTGTTTCCTTCCTATAATATCTCTACAGTTAACTAGTATCAAAACAGCCTGAGAGAAAGCCCATACTTTATCTTGTTAGCAGTGCTTTTCAGACAGGTGAGCCTTGACTGAGAACTCACCAAAATTTGACTGCCTTCTGCCAATGGCTGCATGTATGGGTACCTATGACCCTCTTGTAAGTCACAACTCTGAGCTAAAACACTAGTCTAATGGAAAAAGAAGAGACACGAAACAGTTAAGGACTTCCACCACAGTCTTCCAGCCCCATTGAACATGTACAGAGGAAGGAAGGATCCACCCAACCAAACTTGAAGAGCTGCTGTTGAAGTGCCTGTACCCAGTGAGTGGGCATTGCTGCAGTGCATGGTGCCAGCACAAAGTCCAGGAATGGGTGTTGTGGAAGCCTGCCCTACTATCTACTCTGGATCTGAGGAGATCCAGAGTCAGATCTTGTCCCAACAACAGAGATCAGTTTCTTAGGTTGCTGTAAACGGAGGACTGCACTCTCCTTGAGATGTTCAGCAAGTTGATGCATCTCCTTGACTCCTCTCATCAGAGTGATAAGGAGAAACTACCAAGTCTGAGTTTTTGTGAATCTCACAGTAGAAGTGGAAAGTTCAGTCAAGACCTTTATGTTCCTTGTAAAAAAGCTCTTTGTACGCTTTTATCTGGGTCTTTTTACTTTAAAGAGAAAATCAAGAAGCAGCAAGACCAGCACTGGTTGTTGCAGCAGCAACAAAAAACATTGGTTAGTTTTTGTCTCCAGGTCTTGTTTCTACATGGGTTCTCTGATGTTTAGTGAGCTGAACTTGTATTACAACCTTTTCCCTGGAAGACATTAACTAGGTCTTTCTCTTCAATACCTCTGCCTGTTTCAACAAAATTTGTAGCTCCCTGTTATCTGTAAGACCTCATCAAACCTTGACCTTCTGTCAAACCTGTTCAAATTGGCCACTAATTAAAAAAAGCTTTTAATTAAAGAGAAAGATAGTAGGTAATTAACGCAGAGAAAATCTATTTCCGCTACTTTTCCACACCACCACCAGGTAAAAGGATTCTGTGGAAAGAGGGGGCTCCTTCCCTTTGTTGCCTCAACAAATCACTCCCCACAGCAAGAGGCCGCCTCTGCCCATACAACCTCGCAGCCTTTTTCAGCTCCTCCCTCCATCCAATTTGCTGCAGCGCAACGAAGCACTCCAAAAATAACATTTCTTGTTCAAAACTGGAAAATGGCACAAAGCACCCCAAAGGAGGGAATGACAACGGCGTGAGTTCAGCGTGGGCTCGTGAACTGACACTGCCTGCCAGGGACAGGAAACTGGAACCTCACGGAAAGAGACTGAATGGAACCAGGTTGAACGGAAGTGCCAGAAACCGCGACCATCGATGGCCAAGTGCTGCCGAAAGGATAACTCACCCGCCTGTCAGTCCTGCGCTAGAGCGAGCGCAAGGACTGTGTCACAGCTCTACAGCTATAAACGCCTCCGCTTTGCAAGTCTGTGCGTACAGTAGACTGGAGCATGCACGTTAAGCGAGAAATTTAGAGATCAGAAATATTTCCAAATGATAGCTTTAAAGTTGGGGATCAGCAGAGCTGGAACATCTGATTTCAATTCTGAACTATTTTTGATCAGCAGATGTTGATGCAGTACCCCAAATACACTTAAGAGTTTCTGTTCAAAACGGTATTCTTCAGTAATGATAGAGCTGTTATGTATGAACTGCTAAACAGAGGCCACACCACTCCTGCTGAGTGGACTAAAAGTTGGACCAGGCAGAGGAGAAATAAACTAAATCATTCTCTTTGAATGACCTTACATCTTGTATAACCATTTAGATCATGTCTATGTAGGGTAACTTTTATGAAAATGAAGTTATAAATGCATAATAAATCCATCTAGAAAAATTCCTTGCCTATGAAGAACAGAAAGTAATTTTAATTTGTAAAGTAATAAAAGCTGAATGCCAAAGTGTAATGCTAAAATTGAAGTCAGAAGTTATACGAAGACAGGTTTTCAGAAGCAGTAATTTTTTGATGTAATATTTAAAAGTGATCAATTCAAATTCTGCTTTTGAAAAATTTTCTGAGCTTTGATCTTGCTCCAAGTTTAGCCCAGAACAACTATTATATGGCTGACATTAAAGGTCTCAAAACAAAGTGATTTATAATGGAAACACAGAAAATAAATCACTATTTCAGAACTTCCTAACACACCACAGATGAGATCCAGAAGGTCAGACAAAGTTGTCATTGAGGATATGAGCTCTCCCTGCTGCAGCTGAGGACCACAACATATATAAGAGCAAATTCAGTTAATGAACTTGATCGGATAGACACAATGACTCATGCCTTCCCAGGTATCACTGGTTTTTTTGGAGAGGCACTTAAAGACTATGATCTACAAAGACTGTAACACGACCACAGCCAGTAACTTGCAGCAAGTTGAGAAGCAAGGCTTTCTCTGGCTGGAGCAAGTAGATACACTCACCAAGGCCCTGCTGAAGAATATTTGACCATCAAAATGAGAACAGCCATTAACATCCTGAATTAATGGGCTTAGTGGTTTTCAAATGAGGTATTTTCATGATGGACATGGTGTGGATTCAGCAAAGTTTGCCCTTTAACAAATACAGTTTCGATTTCAAAGATCTGATTAGGCTTAATACCATTAGGGAACCATTACTGATTTTATGCTGTTGTTGTTACTGCTTTAACTATCAGTTTCTGAACCAAAAATTGCAGACAGTTGGCTTGACCAAGAGTCAAGGTTTAGGAATGCAAAAGCAAATCCAACGTACAGATGAGCTTCAGATGTGGACAGGCTTCACAGGGTTTAATAGGCTCTCCAGAATTTGTCAGGTCACAGAGGCTTTTGGGGTGTGTGCGCGCGCGCATTTGTTTCTTTGTGTTTTTTGTTTGTTTTAAACACTGCTGGCCTCAGCCAGAGCCATCGGAATTCATACAAGCAGTTATTGCATGCAACAATTAAAAAAACCTCACAACAATCATTTCTGGTTTATTGTATACCATTTACAAAAAAAGAAAACAAATGAAAATGATCTTAATAAGCAATCCTTGATCACCACCACGTGTTTCTAAAACAGCCAGATGTTCACAGTTTAAGAAGCCAAATAATACTACTACGTTCTTGTAAACGTTAACAGTGAAAGAACAATAATAATGGTTTTAGTCAATCATCATTAGTACTTGAAAGTACAAATATAAATTAAATAAGACTCAAAAAACTTGTACAATAAAATCCACTATAAACAAAGCTAATTAAAAAGAACTGCCTTCAACCTGTGTTGTGGGTTTCATCTTGTTTTAAAATTAAAAGCAGTATTTATTTTTCTGAGGCATCCAAATGAGTGTTCATATCCAGATGTCCTTACAAAGAAACACAATCTTCATTCTTTCCTCATTTTTTAATCTGTTTATATTATATTTTACTTCTGATTGTCTTTTTCTTCCTTGGCAATCCTCTTTGTCACACCACTGAAATACTTTTCACGGAATGAATTGTGTCCCCTGTATGGCATATATTGACCATCCAACAAGTAAGAATTCTGATCTTGATCCTGCATGGTATCAAAATGCAAACATTAGGTTTTACAGTAGTATGTTGAGCATGTATTGCCATTGGTTTTCCTCCAAACATTTTCAGACAGTTACCAGCAAGAGTAAAGTTGTTGGGTTTTGGTTGGGATTTTTGGTTTGGTTTTGTGGGGTTTTGTTGGGGTTTTTTTTGGGGGTGGAGGGTGGGGGGGTGTTGTGGGTTTGTTTGTTTGTTTGTTGGGTTGGTTTTTTTTACAATTCAATGGCAAATGTTTAATTCATTAGATTGATTAAAGAATTCCAAAAATAAAATGCTAAGATTTCCATTAACAAGAACATATACATCCTACTGCAAAGTCTTACCATTTAACATAAATGAAAATACATATGCAATGGATTCTCATTTGGCATTGAACAAATACAAGCTATAAGCAGACAAGGGGGTTTTGTTGGGGTTTTTGTGCATTCATTCAAATCTTCATTATTCTACTGTGTACAGCAAAATGATGCAAGTTGTCAGTACCAGACAGTTTTAACAGTGCTACATCACTGGAAGTATCTCAGCTAACATCACCAGAATCCAACTCCTGAATAAATGAATGAGAGTACGGGTACAATGCCACACAGTCTTTTACAAAGGAAAATATAAAGGTTAGTTTCCAGAAAAAATACCATCTGGTGAATTCAATCACTCAGATGTTTGTGGAAGGCAGATACAAACAGAAGAGGAACACAAATGACTAAAATGACTTCCTACAGTTATTGAAGCTCAATCAGAGGAATTTTTCTTGTGCAGTAGTCACGTACTTCTGAAAGTTAAAGTTGACACAGTAAATCCCTACGCATAATATCTATTTGACATGAGCCAGCAACATAGTTTAGAAAATTGGCCCATTATATATACAAAGGTTAAGTTCAACATGTACTGTGGCTTTATATAATTAAGATACTTGTCAACTAATGTTATCAATACTGTAAGGTAAACAATACATCAAACTTTAATCTGAGTGCTAAAGAAAACTGATGGCAATTTTTAAAACAGTTTTACACTTATGGTTGATCTCAGTTTACTATGCTCAATAGCAAAATGGAGGTAAGATAAACAGCATCACAAAGAACTGAACTGTGCAAAGAGAAAATAAAAACAAGCATACAACGACTAAACCTCTATTCCAGCAAATGTTTCTTCTCAATGCATCCTCATTGCTATATTTTAAGCAATGCAGCAACATACAGATTGGTTCATTACTTAAGTTTACAGTTCAGAGTTATTTGTTCACATTTGAAAATAAGGTTATGGTAGAATGCTGTGGCATCAGTAGTAGGAACATGGAAGTAGATTTAAGTCAATATTTTTATACTATGAAAGTATTACAATGAGAGGATGAACTGAATCCTAGCGGACAATCTCCCTCTTCAGCTATTTAGTAGCCTTTCCAGGCTTTCACCTAGCAAGATCAACACCTCATCTTGCTTTGGATATCCTAATATGCATTCTAAAGGAGTGAAACAAGGTTTTTCAACACAGCAAATGTTTCTGTGCATATACAGGTGCCCTCTTCTGGACACAATGAGATATTCCTATGAAGTTGTTTTCATCTGCTACCCTAGCAAATAGCAGCAGTATGCCACTGGCTTAAACTAACTTGCTAAATGTTGAGTGCCATGTGGATATCTAACATGTAAAGCATGTAAATCAGTAGCAGAAAGTTAATTCTATTTAAGTACTGCAATGTCGAAAATAGCAGGAGAAAATGTCCTCAGTAAACCCACTGCAAACAGAGTACTAGCTATTGTCTTTTGGTCACCTGTGAGAGACTGCCATCTCTGAGACCATTCTCAGGCTGATAATCAACAGGAATTTACCATGTTTACAAGGAAAAAAAAAAAAAAGAAAAAAATTACTATTGGCAGACAGGAAACAAGGAGGATTTAAGACACGCTCCTCTCACAGCCAGCCTGTACCCATTTCTCCAGTGCTCTTATACAGGACCACGCTGAGGAAAAGAGCACTTATTCTTCCCCTGAATTTGTGTATCAGTAATCCTTCTTTGACCTAAACATATAATATATTTTTATACCTTTAGGATGTGTTTTAAGAATAATTCTACATAATTTGCTTGTTTTGAGAAATGGATGTGATGTTTGACCCTGAAGGATAATGATATATGGGTCAATAGTATTTTAACATAAAAATTAATCCCTACAGCCTCTAAGAGGTCACACATCTGTACACCATTCTTGATTCCTTAAGAGGGAAGGAAGGAGGGAAGGAAGGAGGGAAGGAAGGAGGGAAGGAAGGAGGGAAGGAAGGAGGGAAGGAAGGAGGGAAGGAAGGAGGGAAGGAAGGAGGGAAGGAAGGAGGGAAGGAAGGAGGGAAGGAAGGAGGGAAGGAAGGAGGGAAGGAAGGAGGGAAGGAAGGAGGGAAGGAAGGAGGGAAGGAAGGAGGGAAGGAAGGAGGGAAGGAAGGAAGGAACTACCCCCCTCTACCCCCAAGCTTCTTAGGGCAAAGAGAGGATATGATACGTAAGAGAACAAACTTTGAGTTAAACACAGCTGCAAGAAGAGCATCTGCATTCATCAAATGGAAACAGGCTTGGTGCATCACTCCACAGAAGAATCCATTTTGTAAATCCAAGCTTCATCAAAAGCAATGCAAATCATTGCTCACTAAATGAGAGGAGATCTACAGTCAGGCATGGATTTCTTGGGAGAGCCTACAAAGGAAGGTCCTGGCCCACATCACAAAAATTCCAGCTTAAGAGCTTCTATTCCCTACCTCTACCCTGTACAGACATGACTGCCCGATAAAGATGGTAATTGCTTTAAAGAAAAATAACAGATTATGAATTTCTTCTTAAAAAAGAGGTAAAGAAAATAAGAAACCCTGAACTACCTGGAGATGCCACTCACTGTTGACATTCACTAGTCAAACCAGTTTTATGGGCAACATGAGTACTGATCAAAGTAAAAGGAATTCTTGGATTTCAGAGACTAACGATTTCTGAACAAATTCTAACTTAGGGTATTTTATATCTACATGGGGAGCTGAATGGGTACAACCTGAACACTAGGGATAGGCTGCAGTTAACTCTACAGAGATAAGACCTTGTCAAAAAATCATCTTCATGAAACAATTTGACTATTTGCACTAGAATTTGCCTGGGCATCAGGCACCAGCTTGTTTCAGTAAAGAAGCCAGTCAAACATCCTCAGTTAAGCTCTATCTTGAGTAGCATAAATTGGTAGAATATCCACTCTAAATATCTGGCAGGAATGTTTTGCAGTAACAGAAGATCTCTTATGGAGACTCTCAGTGGCAGTGCCAACTCTGCCTCAAGTGCATTAACTGTCCAGTGCAGTTAATAGGGATGGTTTTTTCCTTTCTTTTGCCTTTTTTTTTTTTAAAAAAAAAAAGTTTAAATTCAGGGAATGGAGCTGAACCACAGTGTTTTAAGGGAGAGAGTCTCTTTCCTCCTCCTAACATGACGCACTGGAGGAGGAGTAAGGAGTACTGCTTGTGATACACAGCTGCATCTAGGGGTGAGGAGTTTTTTTTCAACCTCCTTCCTTTGAAACAACTGCACATAGTTTTTAAGGTATAAAAGTTTATAGTTGGTTATTCAACATAAACCAATGAGACTTCCCAAGAAATCACTTCCAAGACTGATCAGCAACGATCAGCCTACTTGGCACTAAGTCAGCTCTTTCCCCAGTATGCCAGCACTACCAAGACAACACAGACTTCAGTTCTGACTTTTACAAATAAAGGAGGACGTTTGTTAATCCCTAGTCATTCTTTATCATCATCCTTGGTTCTCACTTTGAATAATTTAAGTTCTCAAAACAGCAAACCAATTGCAAACAACAGTTATTACATAAAACTTCTACTCCGAAATGTTTTATGATAACTTCTGTGACAACTGAAAACCAACAAAGCTCTTGTCAAAGTACATGCTACCAAACTGCTTTTAGCTAATTTGAGTTTTCAACTCAATGCTTACTTGTTCTAAAGACAACACTAAAAAAGGTGTTACAGATCGCCAATAAATAATGAAAGAGGTGGAAGAAAGAAGAGGAAGCTTAAAGATAACAAGAAAGCTTTGCTTTTCTTTAAATCTTGGCAAATATTAAGTGAAATTCTAAAGGTTTTTATGAATCTAGCATGCCTCAGTTCAGCCTCAGGGTAATTACCCACATTCAGTTTTTGTTTAAAAAAAATCTTCCTAGCCTTATCACAGCTTCCTACCACTCTACATCTGGTGCTGGACAGTAGCTATAGAAACCACTTGTACTAATGTTATACAGCTATAAACAACACCTGGCAGTTTCCAAATCAGGGACAACAGGGTCGTATGCAGGAACAGACACTGCTAAATTCAGTAGGAAAAATTCTACACCAGTAATGACTCTGGAGTGACCGTGTGATGTGGAAATGCTGGACCCATTCAGTGTGGTGGATTTGTATGCCCAATGCTCCAGAGTCCTTTCATGACAAGTCATTTGCTCAGAGTTGGTCCTTCAGTCAAGTTTTCTGTTTCATCTTGCTACATAATTTCTAGGTGTCTCTCTTAGCCCTTGTCAATTGCAGATCTTTATTCCAATAGGTTTTTTTAAGAAGTCCTGATTAGAAACTTCAGAACTAGGTAGCGTTTACCAGCCAAATAGATACCATATACTTCTGCAAGACAGCCATCAGAGGAATGAAACAAGTAATTCAGAAACAGCTGAAATAATTCAGCAAGGAGAAATCAACAAGCCTCAGAAAACAGAAGGCTAGACATACTGTTGCAAAGAAAGGAAACACCAAACAACCCTACAGTTAAACACTGCTAGTAAGTCCACCTCTTCTGAAAACACTTGGTTGATCACTAGATACAGATTCCCAAGAATCCTTGTGGTAATCATGCTGTACATTTTTATACTCCAGTTTTCCTACTGATTAACAACTTACTAGTTATTTGACATTTAAATAAAAAATAACGATGACAATTCAGATTCAGATATAGGTGTGTCAGATTGAAAACTTTCAGTCTTACGTAACTGTATTTTTTAAGGCCTTTGAAAAATTAACTGGTGCAATGGAAGGTATGTTTTCACTTGATTAGGGCTGGAAGAATTGGTTCAAACCTCCTCTGATGTAAAGCAGAAGACTGGACTCCTATTAGATCACAGTCAATAGACATTACAACACAAATCTACTCAGCCAACAACTTCTCATTCTTCCACTGCCACTGTGTTCATTTCTTACATATGAATGCCTACAGTCTTTACAGAGCTGGACTTGTGTTTTTACTAATTAAAAAAAGCCTCCCTTCACAGTTCAATGAGGGTAGATTCACACACAGTCCTGCCTGCTATAATATAAATTAGAAAATTCTATTTCAGGTTGAGAGAGATATTGAGGAGATCCATATCCATTTAATACCAGAAGGGACACTAATGTCCATAGAAAAAAGTAATACATCAGGCTCTCACCTGGTATCGCTTCTGTTTTGTTCCTCTCCCGTTCCACACTCCTGTTCTTCACTTCTCCAATTCTTCTGCATTCAGGGTTTTAGAAGACTACAATTTGCTAGCTGGCTATTGTTAGCTGCCCTCTACAACAACTGCCTTCATTCACTTTTATTATTATCACTATAATTTAAGACTGGGGAAGAGGGGAGCTACTAATGACCACCGTGGCTGTCCAAAAAAAAAGCCTTAAATATTAAAAACCAAACAACTCTTCTGCTCATATTGTGCACAGGCTGGAAAAGTCTATTTGTATCAACACTGAGTTCAGTAAGAAATCTTTTCTAGTTGGCATGATTTCATCGTAAACTTAAATAGAAGAGACTGGATGCTTACAAGGCAGTGAGTTATATACCACCTTTTGTGATGTTTTTAATTCAACATTTATGATCTTCATGTTTATGATTAATTATGATGCATCCATACTTCAAACAGACATATTCTTTTTTTACATTCACTTTGGTCTCCTTTATATTATAAGCACAATCAAATTGCACCACCAATTTCACGTTCAGTAACTGAATTAATCTCCAGTTAAGAGTTTAGAGTGTTAATAGTGAAATCAAATTTGCTGTGAAATCAGCAATTCATTATTGGTGGCAAACATTGGGGAAAACAAAGGACTGCATAATGACACTACATGACTTCTAAAACTTCTTAGCCACTTGCAAGTACTAGACTAGCCTGAATTAAAAGGCATTTGTGAATGTCTGTTACAAACTAGTTAGTAAAGCAGACAGGAACTGTTTGGAAACATAAATGCTTGGATATTTATAAAAACTCACTCTTTCATTTGGGAAAAACAGCCACAGCTCCAACTATTCAATTTTATGATCATATCTGGTGAGTCAGAAGTATCCAATTCAAAGATTGTTCAAGATATTAAGACAGGGAAAAAAACCCCCACGTCCCACGTAAGGGACAGTGGGGTGGGGAAATCTGAGATAGTTAGACACCAAACAACAAGACCCTAAATCAAGCAGGCACTAGCAAAGGAGTCAGTATGTATTTTGTTATTTGGACAAGAGAAACAGTACATGGGTTCTGGTATCTTTAAATTATCTGAAAGACATCTGGAGTTCTGAGTGTAAGCACCTGCACAGTTTTATCTAAGCTGTAAGCCTGCCAACTAGACTCAGGTGCTCAGAGCTAAGCATTTCCAGACATGAACCTGTCAAAGCATGTACTGAAGAACAGGTGATGTACAAAACAAGAATAACAATTTATAGAAGTCTATTTGCAGAAGGGTGGATACATTTTTAAAATTAGAACATGTTATCCTACAGCACTGGCAATAATAAAACTCCTGCAGAAAACCTCCATGAAAACCCCAAGACATACTTGTCAAAAACTTTCATGATTTACCCTCTTGGATCACTACTAGTGAAGTTGGCAGCTCTGGCTCCGAACTCCACAAACAGTGTTTTTAAAAAATTCAGGTGTTGCTTGAGAATCCCAGTCATCATTAGCATTATGAATGCAGTACTGAAACCCTGCTGTGTTATTAATGCAAGCACCCTGCAGACACAGCGGTCTGACTGGATCTCCTGACATTTAAAATAGCTCCTCCAATTGACAAGGAATGTACTAAAAACACTCGCTCACCGTTTGTGTGTAGTTTCATTAAGAACTTGCTTCAACTTTGTTCAGCATCTCTTTAAACAGGTGAGAGAAGCAGCAGTGAGAACAGAAAGGAGATCTGAATGCTCTATTCCCTGGTCTCAATGCTTCAGGAGAGGCACTCAGCATGTCCCAAAACAAACAAAAAATGTGCTTCCCTGTACTTATGTCACAGCTACGTAATATTTCCAAAAGTTAAAAAAGTACCACTCTAAAAATGAAGTAACAATTGAATGTGGTTTACCTGTACTGTCAGACCCGCAAAGGCATTTAGTATTTACTTGGGCACCAAATTACACTTTGCAATAAATGGGTATTTAGGCATCTCTGTGGATGGGATTCACAGAGTTCAGTTTTCCAAGAAAAGCACATGCAACTTACACAAGTAACTGTAAGTTCAAAGATCTCTTTTACACTATTAAGTGGCTTGCTCAGGATGAAAAGTTTATCAAAAACTGAGGAAAAAAAGGTAATGACCAAAACTAGAACAGTCCATTAAATCACTACCCAATTTATTATAAAGAAGCGTGCGGCAATTTTACAAAAGCTCTAACTCTCATCATAAAAAACTCAAGTGTGATAGAAACAAGGATCAAACACCGAATAGCACAAACTTCTAATGAATGCAATAGCTACTACTTTACACAATATAATCAAGAATTCAAGCTTACCTTGAATTCTTTCACCTTTTCCATGGTTATCAGGCGCCTTGATGTGTGGCTGGAAAGCATCTGCTCACAGTTGCTAATAAGTTTCAGGCACGGGTGGCGGGGAATGATCTCTTCTGTGTATCTGGAAGAAATAAACATTCATAGAGCTGTACGCTCATGAACTGGAACACTTGCATCTGAACCAAATTCATACAGATTCTTCACAAAATGGCTTACACTAGAAAGTTGCCATGCATTTTAATATGATTAAAGAAATTCAAGTATTGGTGCTTGTGACATAAAATGTCTAAAATAAATTAAAACCTCACAGTAGAGAGACCCACACACACATTTTCTACATAGATTTGCATGATGTTAAAGTATGCACACAAGCCTGCTTGTATCATTTCAAGCAGAAAATATCTCAGTCAAGAAGGAGTAATAACTTATCCAATGAGAAGCTATGATTTTAAAAATGTATTCCACATGTATATTCCATATACATATAGTTGCGGGAACAAGGGACTTAACTCTGGCTCCCTAAAAGGAGACCATTACATTTCAATTCCAAATTGTATTAAACCAGCTCTTATTAAGACAGTGACATTCCTGGACTTCAGAATTTGGTGTTACAAATGTATCACATTATAATTACTTTTTCTAAAGGGAAGAAAAAAAATCCATTATCTTTTAACATCAGATGGTAGCAACACTGGCTTGCAATTAAATCTTGTCTATAGAAGCAAGCAGTTACAGTGTTTTAAGTGCCCCCATGTCATAAGCATACTATTTTCTACAGAAACAGCCTTCTCTAGATTGCCTATTTCTCCAAATGCTGAAAGAGGAATTTAAGGATTTACAAGGCTTGCATGGGACTAGAGGAGCAAGTAGTATTGACCTAGCTAATAAGATAAATGTGAGATCAGACATCATTCCTATATACTGAGAAATACAGAATCATAGAATGGTTTGGGTTGGAAGGGACCTTAAAGATCATCTAGTTCCAACACCCCCTGCCATGGGCAGGGACACGCTCCACTAGACCACGTTGCCCAAAGCCCCATCCAACTTGGCCTTGAACACTTCCAGGGAAGGAGCATCTACAGTCTCTCTGGGCAACCTGTTCCAGTGCCTCACCCACCCTCATAGTGAAGAGTTTCTTCCTAACATCTAATCTAAATCTACCCTCTTTCAGTCTAAGGCCATTACCCCTTGTCCTAATACTACATGCCCTTTTAAACAGTTAAGTTCAGTCTTAGTTTCTGTAATAAGCTTTCCTGTAATAGTTACTACAACATAATACAGCAAATGGTATATGGTATTGTCAGTGACTATGATTTCATATAAAATGCTTGCTCTCATGATTCCTCAATGCTTGGGGATCAAGAGAAATCAGACATTTAAAAGCAGAACTAAACAACTTTCACACCTAACACTTGAACTTAAAAGATACAAAGGAGGAGCTTCATATTTTTCCTGTGAAGAAGTGGATTTTCTGAATGCACTTTACAAAGTAAATGCATATTCTGGGAGAAAGAGAAGTCAAATCCAACACAACTCTAAATAGGATCCATCCATTCCTGATGGAAATCTTGACATTTCTTAAAGATAATAGTGAGCTGTTAAACAAGTAAGATAATATCAAATACAGACTTGTAAATAGAAAAACAGAACTGCCTCTTTGCATTGTTCCAAAACTTCCAGATCGCAAAACATTTCAGTCACTTCTCACGTGTGAAATCAAGTCACCACTTCTGCTAGGGGAAGTCAGAACATGCTCTTGACAAAGGAGAATCAAATTAATTCTTAATTGTCTTTTCTATTACACAAGACTCTTGATGCATCTAGTACCACCAAACTGCCTCTCTCTCTTACAAAGGTAGGCACTCTGCCACAACATCTTAAATGCTTCTCTTGGTAACCATATAAAAGCTTGACTGCGAAGGAATTAAAAGAATTCAGACTCAACAATGATTTCAATGTCAGACTGAAAGAGTAAACTTTGGAATGAGATGCTATCTTGCAGAGGGAGAGATCATTATCACTTTGTTAAAAAGCCTTGTCTGTTAGCATTAATGCATATATTTCTACATTCTTTCAGGTAAGACTCAGAACGTTATCAAATAAGAAATATAGTAGCAGTGGTTTGAACAGACATCCATTTTAATCCAGTTTTGATTTTAGTTTAAGGAAATACACAAAAATCTCAAATAACACAAGAACCTGATGGCAGGTGTTGCCAAGGGATATCTGATAGCACAACATATTAGTAGACAGTATCTTATCTTCCCCCCCACATACTTGCTTTAATATTTGTTCCTGTGTTCATCATTACGGCTGAAAATAAAATGACCATACTAATATTCTGTGCTAATATAATGACTTCAATATTTCAATGTTCATTGCATAAAGCCAATTCACAGTAATACTTTTTAAGAGGCAAGCCACCTAGAGCTTGAGGGACCTGACCTCCCCAAACCAGCAACTAAAGTAGAACCAGAATGTGCAGTTCATAGTTATCTACTAACTGCTGTACTGAGGAAGCATGCTCTTACCAATGTTCAATGAGCAAACAAAGAGCTCTGGTATCTTGACAAACAGAATAAACTCAGTAATTCCAAGCAGAGTTTATTGACATGGAGATCTAAGAATTCACAACCACACACTGTCTGTCAGGGTTAAGCATGTACAGACAGACACTTTGAACAATTAGGTATAATACTGTTAATGGCATTCATTATTTTGTTTGTGAATAATCTTGCAAGAAAAAAAGCCTACGATACCAATTCTATCATTTAAAAAAAAAAAAAAGCAAGCTTCTAAGTGCACTCTTGTGTTACGGAAGCATGTAACAGAAATGTAGGACTGTCACAAACCATTTCCATGGTGAAACCAGGGACAAACACCACTTTTCCTATCAGTATAGTTTGAGCGTACATAGAAACATACAGCATTGTCGAAGCTACCTTCAGAGCACATGTACATCTGGAAGATACTTAGAAACAGCTACTGTACATCAACTCCCCACTTTACTATGAAACAGTTTGGGGAAAAAAAAAAAAAACAAACCAAACAAAAAAACCCCTCAAAACCTTATCTAAGAGATGCTGAAGTAAGGTATGCAAACAGATGTCTTTCCTTTTAAACTCAGTTCTAATCTCAGGCTGCACTACTGAGCAGACAGCATCCTGCAGTCTCTGCTGGCCCCTCTCGTCCTTAACCAGGCTGCTCCCCTATGCTTCCTGCCTCTCACTGCCATCTCTTGGTCTTCCGATTTCTCAGAAGAAAGCTAAATTAGTAGTGCCAAACCCCAAAGAGCCAAGAATGTTCTTTTACAGGACCTTGTCAGGCACCTCTATCAACTACTCTAGTAGAAACACATATTAATAAGAGCCTTGCTACTATTATCTTAGAAATCTATCTGCACCTTGAAAGTCTAATTTTCTAAGCTTAAAACTCAACCTATTAGACGTGCATTTGCAAGGACATGTGAAGGTTTTTTTCTTTTTGGTAACAGTCAGGAATTACCTCTGTCCAAAAGCCTTATTTCAAAATCTGCTTTCCCTCATACGAACTTTTACAATCTGAAGTCTGAGCGGTACTCGTAAGTGCTAGTACTATGGAAGTTCCAGCTGTACTATGCCCCAAAAGAAAGCACAGCGAGAATGCAGCATCTGTTCTGACATACTACATACCAGAAATCAAGAATACATACTCAGGCCTGTATATTGGCAGCCAGTAAACTAATCTTCCTCCCATCACCAGATATTCTGCCGCAAACTTCAATAGGTCAAAAAAGATGTCACTTAGATGGTAACTGGATGAAACGAAGATGTGATTTTCTGTGCTAAACAAAAAATTTACAAGTGTAAACATAAAAGCACAGATAAAACCTGCATTTTTAATTTAAAACAAAAAATAAACAAACAAAAAAACCGCCCCAAAAAACCCCAAACTACAGAATAGCACTGAGATTTGCAAAACTACCTATGACAATCCAGGAGTACAATTTCTACTATGAGGAACATGACTTCCCAAATTCCCCTATTGGCTCTTTAGACTATCATCTTTAGTACCCATGGAAGTGAAAGAATCACAAGCACAGGAATAGTTATTTTGCACAGCATCTTTCTTAAGGACAATTTAGAGTAAAAGGCAGAAGACAAGGAAGGCCAGACAGTGGAGAAGCCACGTGTTATCTCTGAAGAGAAAGGAGCCGTGGAAATCCAAGAGAGAAGGTTAAGGTAAAATACAGGTATTCCATTTTAGATTGATTTGGCACCCTGCAGGAATTGAAGAGAACTTTCTAGGAATAGGAAACACAAGGTAACAGTGACTCACAGATACGAGAAATAGGATCTGAAAGCTGAAAAGATGCAAACGATAAGCAGGGAGAACAAAACCAAGAGGACTTCAGGAAGTGACATACTAGTTTTGCAAACAGAACAAAAAGGGCTTTTCTTCTTTAATTCTTATTACTTTTTTTTTTTTAAACTGCTGACAGTCAACCAAGAAATAATAAAGATTCTAAAACTGTGACTGGGTTTCCACTAAGACATTTATATTCTACAACAGACAAGACAGTTCCTACCTTCTTTCAGCTGACTTAACTGTTTCCTTTTGTGAACCCATTCTGCGAGTAGCTTCTCTGATACCATATGGTGCTACAAAGCAAATGCATAAAGCAGAGATGAGAACCTCACCCTTTGTCCAAATAACATACAGTTATATTATACATACATAACAGTGCACAAGCTATGGCTTATACAAAGTTTAAAAAAAAGAAAAGCTTTTACAAAGTAAAATCAGTAAGAATATTTTCTTCAAGATTTATTAAAAGTTTCTTGCTCCAAAAGGTTACTTTAAAACTGTTTCAAAGAAAGCCTTTCAGCTGTAAAAGGCTTCTAGCAGCCTAGACGTTTGCTACACTACAAAGGACAATGCTTTTCTGTTTTGTTCATTAAAAGATACTCCTTACATTTCCAACATGTGACAAATAATCCCATCCTCTTTTGTTTGACAGACACAAACATCTCCTCTATAGTGCTTAGATAACCTTTTTCAAAATGAAATTGTATATACCGGAATTTCTTGCCAACACGTTACACAAATGGTAATGCTCGCACAGACAGACAAGAGCAGCCAGAGATGGCTTTTTCTCATACATTTTTGCATATTTCTTATAGCATAACATACTTACTTCATGTCCAACACATTTGGTTTTGTGAGACTTGTTTCAGCATCATGGAAGCACCAATATCACCATTTTATAAACACAAAAGTTGTGACACAATTGGCAAACTGAGTTCTAAATCATATTAATATTCTATATTGTCTTATTGCCAAACAGGCCAAATAAAAATTAGCAGGTAATCCACAAAGAAAAGTCATACTCCTTATTCCTAATTAATATGAACGTGTTGTCATAAAAGCCAGCACTAGAGATCAGAAATTGCTGTATCAAGGTCTTTTATTTATTCTTTTAGCCTCTACTCCTTCTCATGCATGACAAATGGTGTTAAGTACATAGGTTTCTAAAAAAGTGGAGGATCCTTTCAAACTGCTAGTGCTTCTAGTAAAGTGTATCAGAAAATGCATTAAAACTTCTCTTTGGAAGCATTCCAATAAGTACTTAACATAAGTCTCCAGAAGTCCATCAGAGCTGCATGGCAGACTCCACAGTGTGTTGCAGATCAACTCCTAACAGCAGCATGAACCATTCTGATAAGAAGTCTCTGTGCATCAATAAAGTTATGCCTTTACCGAATGAGACTTCTTTGAAGGATGATTTTTTCAGCCATATTGATTTCTACTGGCAAACATAATATTCTCTCCACGGAAGAAAGTATCATGGCCAGCTTTGTTCCACATTTATAACTATCCTTAAAATAAATGCAGAGATGTCAAATGCAGATCCAATTTCCACAGTGCTGCTCTCAACAGTTATCTTTTGTAATATGGAAACTGCAGATCTGAGCACTCATCAAGGCATTAAATCAATGTACATAGGCACAGGCAATAATCTTTTAGACATTGTCATCAGCAACAAAAAGCATTAACAAACTTACGATCTGTAATGATTGCATCAAACAGCATCCCTTTTCGCCATATTGGTCTTGAAGAATCAGAAACTAGTGCATCAAGGTAGTATTTCTCTAAACCATACTGTCGGAGATTAGCTCTGATATTTTCATCTGGCCCTCTCCATTTCTGGTTCTTTCTGCTTGCCTTGCCTGGGCAGGGAGTGGGGCATGGAACAAAAAAAAAGCATACTCAACAACAACCTATTTTACAGGAAAAGCTTGAATAAGCTCTATCATTTATTTCAAAGGAAAAGAATTAAATGTCACATACAAAATTAGAGTTTATCTGCTGCCTTGTTCTACTCATTGTCACAAGTATTTGCAATAAACTTCACAAGTAGCAAGGAATAATGAAAATACATGAGAAAAGTTCTGCTGCACCATCTGCACAGGGTGTCACAGAACACATTTATAAAAAATGTTGGTTTGTAAGATGTTCTCACTATCCATCAGTCATAATCCTGTCCAGTAAGTCAGATATAATTTGCACTGCAGTATTTGAGAGAAGTAAGAATGGAATTAGACTTCCTGGGTTAGGTTATGAGAAGCTTCCTACATCGCAGAAAGAACAGCACACAGCTGTTGTAATTATTATTCGGAACTTTGTTTTGGTTTTCATTATTCTTTTTATTAAATATTTCCTGCTTAAAAAATAAGAGAATAGGTTAGCTAAGATACATGTAAAATGGTCAATAAAGCATGACCAAATAAATCCCATGAAGATTAATGTTGCTTTAAAATCCACTAAGTATCATTCCCTACCATCAGTATTCTTAAATTCCAGAGAGTTAGATTTCAGTGACTTAGAAATGTGTAACATACCTAATCCATGGATTGTGTTGTAATCTATATCAGTACCACACACATATGCTCCAAAGTGTGCTGAGGAGATTAGAAGGCCACCTATAAAGGGGAGAAAAGGGGAAAAGTATAAACTGCTGTCCTAAGTGTTATCTGTGTTAGGATTTTTTGCTCAGGAACTTCAGGAGTTTACACCAGTAGCACACTAGACCCAAGGAAAAAAAAAAAAAAAAAGGAAAAAAAAGAATTAAAACTACCAACCAGTTAGAATCACTATGCAACTATAATCAGAGATAATAACACTAAGCCCTTGTCTGCTAGACTTGATCTCCCTTAACTTGCTATGCCCTATGTCACTTCTTATCTTTGGAGACTGTTCTTAGGAGTTTGTTTATGGTTTTCTACATTTCAAGGCAATAAGATCCTTTAATCATTATATGAACCAAAACATTTAGTTCTACTTTGCAAGCAGCAGAATTTCAAGTTGTTGGCAAACAATTTGAAAAGTCATCACCAAATGAATGGCAATTCTACCATGTCTGTTCTTAAAGTCAGTCCCCTTAACTGTGTCGAATTTCAAATTTGTTATATAATATGGCCACTCCCCGCGCAAGAAGCAATGGTCAAGAACCTTGCAAATGTAAATATCTCCAATGTAAACAGCAATATCAAAAAAGTTTCTGTAATTGTTTTGCAGTGTGAAAGCTACATACAGATGCTTTTTTTTGTGTGCTGCTTAGTTTGCCAGTACATTTATTTGCGAACTCATCCTGCAATAAAACTTTTTTTTTTAAATCACTACCTTTCTCATGTGCTTTCCTAATTAAAAAAAACAAACAACCTATACAAAAAAGCATGTGTGATTTCCCCTTGAAACTGGGCAATGGTTGAATAGCCCACAGAAAAAAGCAGATGACATTATCTCTTTAACAGCTTCCAAATGAAAAAAAAAAAAAAAAAAAAAAAGGACAGCCAGCTTAAGGTTACCGAAGAGCTGTGTTGTTGAGTTAATAAGGAGTTACGTAGCTAACAGAATGGTTTAAAACAGAACAGTGACTGAGAACAAGGCTGTGAACCCCCCCACACTATTGACACCAACTGCTCATAGATACAGTTCTGCTAAAATAAAGTGGACAATTGCTGCAGGATGCAGAGTTGTCCAGCGTGGGGAGCAACGTGCAAGCTGGCTATGCGGGTGACACCAGTCTCCCATTCACCGGCAGTGTGGAGAGGAGCATCTCAGGTGACTGCATTGCCCACGCCACCCACTCAGCACCAACAACCCCCTAACACGCACTAAAGATCCTATCTCAGGGTGCCAGAAAACTCCTACATCATATGCTAATGAACTCTACCAAAACTGATGGTGAGGGAGAAAGAAAAAAAAAAAAAAAATTCCTCTGCTTTTTCTTGTGAAATGGATCAGGGAAAAGCAAGGTTACTCACCCCAGAGGAGTCACCCATTTCCCTTCTCGGCTGCAATCCCTCAGAACAGATGGGCAGTACCTCCAGAGGGTCAAGACAAATTTAGCTAGCCCTGACCCCAAGTATGGCATACCACCCAGTCCTATAAAAAAAGTAAGAAGAAAGTACTTTGCCCATCTAAGAATGTTTTTATTCACAGGGAAAAAAAAAAAAGTTAGGAAAACATGAACTTAATAGCTTTTAATAAATCTCAGCTGGTACTAGTTCAATTGTGTTCACACAGAAGGTGCATGAATGCTTAAATACTCTAATATGGCCAGCCCTTTGACCTACTTTATCGAACAGATAATACAGAGGGTAATCAGAGAATCACTGTGTCACCTGATGACTATCATCAGAATGATGATGGCACAGAAATTCATGCCTTTCTATTGTACACTATTTCCCCTATCTCTTCAACACAGATGAGGGTCTGGTCATACTACTATCCTCTAGGATGTCAAAGAAAAAATTCTTGTCATTTGCAATTACGCTGTATCACAAATCGGCAAAGAGAAAGTAGGGACAAATATCTTCCAAAGGTACAAACAATAAACTTACTGAGATAACCTGAACAGATCATCTAGGAGGAAGTACAAAGTATTCAGGTAAAAGACTTGATTTATTCTTCCAGAAACCTCCAGTCTTCCTTCTGCCCAAGACTGAGGGAAGAATACCTAAACAGTTTGTGGAAGTTACATTTTACAACTCACAAACAATCCTGGCCATTCCAATTCCGCTTTATGAAAAAAGGGAATCAAGTCTCCTAAACCAGCCTGGTCAAAAGCACTTTTTATTCCAAGGACAAATTCCAATTGTCCATTCTTACATTAATGTGGAAGACTTGTGATTTGGCTCATCCAGTAAAACCAGCTTGTTTCCAACAAGCAAGCATCATTTTGCAAGACTGTTCTAACTTGGTAACACTTGCCTTTTCACTGTAAAAAAAAAAAAAAGGGAAGAACCAAGCCAGGTATTAAAGTTGCACCAATAAAGAAATCTGAACTGCAGTTTCTTCAAAATACTCCTCAAAATCTGAATGTATGTTCTTTCCAAACCCATCAGGTCAAACTCACTGCGTCACTCAGCTCTTGACTACCTCCCAAAATTCCAGTGGCAGGGCACTGTAGCACTCACAATCTTGAAAATCCTCTAAAAGACCTCAAGAGACAATTGAAATTCCTGGGGTTTACTCACAAAAGTAGGTGCAAAAGCCACTGTTGAGTTGTCTAGTCATATATACACTTTACTGACAAATGGCGTGCCACCCTGTATTTCCAGTGTCCCTACGTACCTTTAATCTCAAGTCTGTATCTTACAGATGTCTAGTGCAATAAAACCACAAAAATTGCAATTCATATCATTAGGCAATCTGGGGACAATTTTGTACATGTTATCTTTTGAACTGTAACAACGACTTAACATTTATCTTGAATTTCTATTGCTTTGCCATTTAGATGTGACTTTTCTTCCTCTAAGTTTATCCTTCCTTTTTTTTCTCCACTCCCAAGATAATGAATGCTCTCAGAGATTTTTTTATGATTTAGGTTTAGTAGATTTTTGTAAAAAGACACAAAACCATAGACACCCATATGAAAGAAACTGCTTGGAGATGAAGTAGAGGAATTTCCTCAACCTTTCAAAGAGTACTACCCATCTGCAAGGAACACAAGCACGAGGAGGAGCAGGGGGAAATTTCATAAGACATGATTATGCATGCAAAAAATCAGGTTGTATATGAACAAAAGTTTAAGACAAAAACACACAGTTCACTGAAGCCTTGTGTTTCTGAAAATACTATATCCCTGGTCTGTTTTCCATGGTACAGAGAAATCACATGCTAATAAGAATTTGTCCTACTGATGACCCTGTAGTGTTGTCTTCTCTCTCCCCAACTTCTCTGCAGTGATTTCTGCAGTGAATCCTCTTCATCCTCCCATTAATGCATTTTTAATTGTATGCGTCTCACACATGGTCTTCATGACCCAAGTTTAGCAAAATCCAGGTCAGAAACACAGCCTTTGTTATACTTTTGAAGAAACTACTATAGGTAGCTCTTGTATGATTAAATGGCACAATCTGACACAACAGATCTTCTATTTCACCTACAAAACAGCTGAGTTTCCCTTAAGTGAAAAGTACTTCTATGCCATGCACAGAAATACGTGGAATAAAAGCTCCCCCTCCTGGCTCAACTAAGAAAAATTCAGCTGGGGGCGAATACATGGTGTGAACAGTATTATCCTGAAGACAAGACGTGATGGATGGTACAAGGAACTGATCACAATTGAATGCTATGACCTAACTATTGCTACGTTGTGTTATACGCCCAGAAGTGCCCTCAGCACTCCTCTCAATAGCCACCTCCAAAGATGCTGCTCCTGAACATTCTGAAAGTAGCTGCAGGGAGTGCTCTAGTCAAATTTTAGTTCTGAGTCACTTTGGACCTTAAGCACTCCATGACACGTGAACTAGTGTTTAAGCCATGTTACACAAAATAATACAGTGAAGATAGACTTGTCAGAAGTGTAAAATAAACTCTTTACATCTTCTGAAGTTGGTCTCCTTCCCCCCAGATCCCTTTCAAATTAACAAAACATTCATTTTATAATCACCATTTTACTTTTGGTATCATTTCAAATATCACTACAACACCAGCAGTCACTGTGCCATGTAAAAGCACCATTTTACTTTTGGTATCATTTCAAATATCAGTACAACACCAGCAGTGCCATGTAAAAGCGTGGTGTGAGCAGTAACACAATCTCCCAGTTTTTCCTGCCAGTAGAAAAAAAAAATATATATACCTGTTCCAACAAATGGATCATAGACAACATCATTGGGTTTTACTCTCCCATGGTTTGCCATAATGAAAGACAGGCAGGCATCCATGCTCGTATTTCCAATAAAGTGTCTCCTTTTTACACTGTAGGACTCAATAAGTTCTCTTTGGCCATCTGCAATCTGTTGAAACATTTAAAAATCACTGTCAGGTCTTAGATACAAGACATGAGCAGGCAGGCTAACAGACTTGCTTAAGTGACACCATCCAACAAACAGCTAAGTCTTCATTTCATAACATACCACCTTGCTTTCTGCCATCTGAAAATATGACAGACTTCTTTCCAAGCAACAGGTATCTTGGTTCAACACCTACATAAATTCTTCAAGAAAGAGGTCAAAAATATAGAAACAATTGAAAGGAAAAATTCTTCTGAAGAAATAACAATTAGAGCAACTTTGCCATTATTCTAGGTATCAGAAAGACAATTCCTGGCAATTCAGAGTTAAAAGAATTTCAAAATTATGAGGAGTAGAAATGCATGCTAACACATGCATGCACATACACACGCAAATGCTTAAGGTCACACAGAATTTCCATCTTCACCAGCATTTCTATCATGCTCAAAATCTAAATTTAGGGTAGTGTTGACAGACCAGGATTTACTGGAAAAACAAAGACCAAATGCTAACATTTTTACATCAGATTTCCAAAATATGTTGAAGAAGACCAAAGCAGTCTGGAAGAAAACACATTCAAAAGCTCTTCCAACAATATCCCCCAGCTCCGGTCAACATCAGTTTTACCGGGTAAACAAAATACACTTGCCTGTTTTTTTTCAGGTTGGTTTACTCATTTTTAAACACTTCAGGAATCCAGCACAGATGGGACAACAGCTGCAATGTTTTGCAGTATTGCCATAACCCAGGGTGCTTCCACATTAATCACAGGCATGGAGAATATTCACAGGTGCTAACAGATCACTCTGTACACAGCTCCTGACCATAGCTGTACAACCTCAACAGTGGTTCTCCCTCCTTCCAGCTGCCCTTGACCCAGGACACTGCAAGGGCATATTCTCATCAGCAGCTGGTGTAATTCTGGAAGATGCCCTTTGGGGAGCCACTTTTTCCTCACAAAAAAGAAAAGACTGGATCAGATTTCCTCAGGATATCCTAATAATGCAACAGGTTTGGAGTGCATACACCCAACAGGCAAGAATGTTTGTAGTAAAGACCGCAGACAACAAGTTTTTGAACATGGTTACTACTGTACAGCGCTCTCAGTGTCCCCCCAGGGCGAGCATCCATCTGTGGGCTGGGGCTCGCTGATGTCCAAAGCCTCAGGGATCAGTCTGCACCTGTCAGGACCACTTGAGGCACTTAGAGAATGCTCCAGCAGGGCAGATGCAACTCAGCATGGCCACAAGCCATCTACAGTTCCTGTAAATCTTTCTTCATGTTTGAAACAAGCTGCTGGTGCTTTTAGCTCCACCTGGGCCCACAATAATATAATGCACCACTACAGCTGTAGAGTCACACTGCTGCATTGAGTTACCTCAGTGGAGGGCAAGATAAGGTGTGTTCCCAAATAAAACTTCAATTTTTTCCACCGCTAAATTGCTCAATTAACCCGCTTTTTCCTAGTCACAATAAGGACTTTCAAGACTTGCATCAGTGTATTATGCAGTGACAGATTCAGCCATAATTTTATTGTCTGCATGCATTAAAACTCAACACAATTTTTTACATTTAAATTGAAGAACACTCCTGAAAATACAAGCTCATAAGAACTGAAGCAAGCATACTCACGCACCCATCTACCAAAATAAAGATGAAAGGGCTCTTCTGGAACATTATTAGGATCCGTTCCATAATCTTCCAAAATCCAGAAGATGTGTTCTGGATTCTTTAAATTTACTTTTCCTTTGAATGGTAAAAATTCAAGGGCCTATACAATAAATAAAACCAGAGTCAAAAATAGGAAGGTCAAATTTTGAAATAAGCATCCCACAAAAAAAATAAAAAGAAAAAAACCAAACCATAAAACAAACCCCAATGTCACTTGTGAGAAATGACAGATTAGTACTAGAAGTACATTCTCAATTTTCTCTGGATTTCTGAAATGCCTTTCTTGTGAATAGAGATAGCTCAAATGATTAAGGATTAGAAATCAGGAACCATAACATTTTTTATTAACTGAAGAGAGCCCAACTTTAGAGGAAATGAACTGTGTATATTAATAATGCAATTTTCAAGTTATAAAAACAACACTGATGATGAACAATAGGATTTACAATTTCAGTGATGTGTAGCTACATCAATTTACATAGCATTGTTTCATGTACACAAAAACTGAACAACAGGAAAGGGTAGCTATTTTAATACAAATAATTTCAGTCTCTGTAAATGAAGTAAATAGGATAAATAGCTGCTAAAAATAGAATGTGGAAGAGCAAAAATTAATAGTAATTTAGAAAAAATTCCTAATTAAACACTGATACAGTTCAGAGGAGAGCACAAGTGCAGACAAGAGCATAAGGACAGAACAGGAAATCAGCACACAATCCACAGCTTGCAACTCGAGTCACTGGACTGGCTTGTTCCACATTCTGCAACAACAAAGGCCTAACATGGAGATCAAGCAATAGATTTTCTAAAAATCTAGCACCTAACTCTAGCCATTTGAATCTTATAGTTTTAGGCAATGGGCTTCAGCTTCCCCACAACACTGGGCTGAAATCAGCAGTGATATTTGTTTGTCTTTGTACATGCCTTATATTGTCTGTTTAGAAAAGGGGAAAAAAAAAAAAAAGTCATGAATTGTGAGGAGAATGTTCATTCAGACACAAAGATCTCACATAGACCTGATAAGGTATGAGTTGTAAACTGCTTTAAGATCTTCAGGAAACCCAAACTTAAATACACTCTAGACAAGACTGATAGCATGGAATAACAACAGGAACAGATTAAATTAAATGTCAAAGTTTTCTTAAACATGTACTTACATCTATCTTCTTTATTTTCTGTGCTTGGGTCAGTGTTTTATTAAATGTATGAATATGTACTTTGTAAGTAGAGTCTGACTGTAGATATGGAAGCTGAAAAAAAGGCAAAGACACTTTCATTAGTACAGCTGCAGTGCTATTCAGTGTGATTAAGGAACCGTATTTCCAGATTCTTTATGTGCATACCATCTTGTCCACTGGATAGTTCTTCAAAGATGCATAGAGCTCCTCCGCAGATCTTCCATGACCCCACAGTTCAAATATAGACCTGAAATTACAAATTTTTTTAGAGTGCAGTCATATAGGAGGAGAAAAAAATGCCTTACAGATACTCATTTTAACCTTCTTGGCCAATGTATTTAGACTTTGCTTTATGGAGTATTGAAGTGCGTTATTTAACTCTTAGCACATGTTTAGGATTTCTTCTTAACAGTGACACACTTATTTTTAATCCTAAACTGGTATTTCAATGAAGCTTTTTTGTTTGGTAATACATACTAAAAGGTAAATTTCAGTCTTAGTACCCTTGGATATCACCAGGCCTTTCTCTGGCATACAGTGATACTAGCAAATGAGATAAAATTCACTTGTACCTGTCGATTTTATGGAGTAAGCAAGGGCTGAAAAAGGTCAAGACCAGACTTTCAAAGTGTTATGCCACCCTGGAGTAAAACAAATCATGAAACTGTAACATTTGATGTTTAGTAACATCATCAGAGGTTCTATCCCATTTTAAGATGTGGTTATGATGCCTGATATTTTCAGATATTTAAACATTATGCTGTCTTACACTTTTTTTGTTTTGTTTCCGTATTGCTGGCTTTAAGAAAAGCGTTGCCTTGGAAGATGATATAACCAATGCTACTGTAAAGAAGGCACACCACCACATCATAGACCTTTTCCTCAGCATTCAAATATTCAAACCGGGCGAACTTTCCGCATCAAAGAAAAAGATCTTTTTAGTACAGGAATCCTAGTGTCACTGCATGTATTGTTAGACACTCTTATGTGCATTTGCAACACACCATAAACACAGCCTTTAAGGATTAGCAGTGCCATGTAGTACCTTTTCAAAGATGACTCCTGAAAGAAAATCTTCAAGATGTTCAAAGGTTTAGCTCACTCAAGCAAAAATAAATTTTCTAGAAGGACCTCTGCTGCAGCCATCTGGGCTGAGGGGTCAGATACCAGCACTAGGAAGGGGACACAAGGAATCACTACCTTTCCCTTCCAAACTTGATTTTCATTTTTTATGTATCACTGTTTTTATCTTTTAATTCCACACACATTTTAAAGCAAGTCATTAAGTAAACGTTATTTAAGGTGGCTAAAACATCAGTGACACTACAAGACAAGTACTGGCTCTGCAGTGAAGAACACTGTTTCAAGACCCTGCGCTGATCATACACTAAATAAAGAGGATGGGCATACTACCTAATCAGTCCTACAGGCTCTAGTAATACCTCCTCAATTCTAAAGGTAATCAGAGACTGTTTATTTTAAGACTCCATACAAAATTAATATTTGCCACAATATAGCAGAACAATTTTCTACAGCCCATGTTATCATTTACAAGATTTTTCATCTCTTACTTTGCACATACTGTCCGTTTCATTAGTCCCCTTGCCATCTCTTCTGAAAGAATACTGAGAATCCAAAATGGAGACTGAAATAAAGAGAAGATAAGCGATGCACACACCTAGCTGGAGGATGTCACGTGATTTGCACAACTACACAATTCTGTTCTATAAAACCAAAACATGCACACTGAAGATTTTTTAAAAAATAAATCTGTTAACTCTACAGAGAACATGAGGGTAAAACATTTAATTTGAGGTAAAACTGTATAGTCAGCTTGAATGTCTGAGAAATTTTACTAGGCATTTCATTTTCCCACCACATCTTTGACTTGGTTTGTTTATGCTCCTTGGGATTATCCATCCTCTAGAGACTCAAAACACCTCATTACACAGTAGTACCACCTAAAACCCAGTAACATTTTCTGACTAATCATTGAGACCACCATCATACAGCTTCCCAGCTTCACTCTTCCAGACACACTGTCTCATTGATTTAGAAGCAAACACCAAATTCAAACTGCTGCTGAACGTTTTCATGGTTCGGCTATTCTGAAAAGCAAGGAGAGCTTCCCAGCAGATGGCACTGTTTCTTTTCACACTGTCAAATGAAGACATCCTGATGTGCGCTTTGTGCATCTTTTACCCAGTACCCAGTCTTTACTGAAATTAAGAACTGCGCAGTTTTGGAACACTCCTTATTTTCATAAGGAACTTCAAAATTTATTCAGCTAGCTACATTTAATAAAAATACTCTAAAGAACATACTTGTATACCATACATGCACTTAAGTAAAATATTTGGTCCTCACTTACATTGACATGAATTTCCTGCTCACCGCTGAACTGTCCACCATAAAGGGAAAGCAAAGCTGTTATTTCCTAAAGTGAAAATACAAAGGGTCAGGCTTTAGGAGCATTAACTAATGTTTTAAAGAAAGAAGAAAAAAAAAAGCATCATACCATAAATTCTAATGCAGACGATGACCTCCATAGGGATTATGAGCAAAGTGTTAGAGACAGCAACAGAAAGAATAGTGTTTATTACAGACTTACTGTGGGAACCAACAAACACTCTTAGAGTAGTTGTGTGGATAGAACAGAGGTTCACAATTAAATTTAGCTCGTATGCAGTGTTCATGAACTGAAAAAAATTAGACTCTCCCGCTATAAAAGCAGCTGATTACCTTTCTCAGAGTTCAGCTGCAAAGGAACAAGCTATGGTTAGGTTACGAGAAGTTGTACAGTATACAACACAATAAGATCAAGTTACGCAAATTTCAGTAATCAAGTCCCACCATTTTGCGTTCTTCTACTCCTATTTCTATTCTATTTTTCTATTCCATATTTCTATTCTATTTTACACATGAATCAACAGCATCTCCCCACACTACCGGTAACATTATCTACAAGGAAGTGACAGGAATGAGAAGCAGAGGAAACATGGCCCGTGAGGAAAGGCTTGGAGAGAAATGTGATCACGACCTCTACACACGCTAAAGGTTGCTGTGATAAAGCAAGGTAATAATGTGTTTTTGACATTTCCTACGGATGAGACAAGGGCATCGGGTCCAGATCACAGGAGCACTCTGGATAAGAGGCTGGGAAGACCCTTCTAAGAGCGAAGACAGTGAAACACTGGAACAGATCTGCCTGAAGATATTGATAAGAAAATATTTGACATGCATGTATTGGTCCATTAGAGACACCCTATGGTGGAAAATTGGATCCCTGATGTTACCCCTCGGTATCTCAGACATCCCAAGAGAGATCCTTGACTATGGAACATGGTTTCTTACCTACTAAGAAATATGAAATACAGACCTTTATTCTACCCTTAGCAACAAATGTCAACTTCAACAAACATCTTCAGCTATTGTGATCCAGCACCGCCACCAGAAGAAAAGCAGTCCTCTCATATCCCATATACAGGTGTAGTAGAGATGGAGATCAGGCAGCTGACCTGCCTGAAAAATCTGTCTTCCTTGTTTTGTTAAGTTTTCAGATAAATCAGGTCCCTAACGCAGCTCATGACAGAGCCAAACATACGGCTGAGCATTCACCAGAGTACAAGAAAAGGGAAATGGAATTGCTTTCTTCAGCAGCTGTATCAACCAAGTGCAACTGCAACCTTGGTGAAAAAAGAAAAACTTTTCACGTTACATACATATATAATCTTGTCATTTTGGTTTTGGCTTTTTTTTTTTTTACTTAATCTGATGACCTCGCCTAAAGAAAAATTGGGCTGATCATAAATAAATACATTCATGTTCCAGTCTTACAAAGCAGATAGTAAAAAACAATACACAAAAGAAAGCCTTAAGGAAAACAAGGAAAATAAATGATGCAATACACATTAAATATTTTAAGACATGTAACAGTGACCTACCAATTCTAACAAAATAACTCTGCATTTCAGCATAATTTTAAACAATAACATATTACCTTGGATATCATATTACTAGGTCTTCAAGATGGTGCCTAGAAGAGCACCTAAGGTATCAAAATTTGTTACAGTGTGTAGCAACTCTGTAAGTCATCACGGAAAAAAAATAATCAGAAGTTAAATTTACAAACAAAATGGTTTTCTTATAAACAAGAGAAACTGAGTGTATGCTAAACTAGACATTGACTAAGGACCCATAAAACCCATTAGGGACTCATAAAAAATATCTGAGCTTCAGATCAGTCACAATTATTTTTTTTAACGATTTCTGTGAATACCACTTGATAAAACCAATTTAGTGACAGGGAACAAACTCTGCACCACAAATTTTGCAACCAACTGGCATAAACGTGACGAGTAGACTGCAGTTCTTGATCCAGGACTTGCTGGCCCCCACACCCGACACGCCGCGATCCTACCACAGAAGCAGGTCTACTCTCTCTGATCCTGCATCGGCCAGCACAGCACAAATCCTTCTGACCCCACACAAACAAAAGGTTCAGAATCAAAAAAAAAAACAAAAAAAACCCCAAAAACCACCAACGAGCAGTCCTTGGTGCCACCGGTGCGACACAGACGAGGGATGCTCGCAAACAGGACACCAACCACGGCCTTGGAGACCTCCATTGGACCCTGGCAGGACTTAGGGCTTCAGAGAAGCCCCATCCTCGCTGCTCCCCAGGTCTTCCTCCAGATGACGAGGATGCCGTGCCCTCCCGCCCTGCCGCGCCTCTTGGAACACCTGGGCAGCACTGACACCCACACCACATCGGCGGGAGCAGCTACGTAAACAAACTAAAAAGTCACCAAAACAAACCCTTAAAAACATTTTTGTAAACCCATTTTTTCCTCCGAGTTTCAATTTCTTATAAGGAGCCCCAGGTACTTTGCTGGCAACCTCTCCTAGCTCCGAGGGCTCTCGAAAGCCGCAAGGAAAGTGTTGCCTTAAAGCCACCACGAAGAGGCTCTCCGTGGAGCCTGGGGGCAGGAGCAGGGAGCCTACGCCCGCTGCAGGGAAAAGAGGCAGCCCCGCGTCAGGGGGCCGCTT